AGAAATGGAATTCTACCGAATCTCAACAGAATCAATGTAATTCAGTTACAATCATTGTTTAACAATATATTATACTGTCATATAAGAATATGTTAGTGCTAGTGAATGTATAGTGTAGAGGATTACTTCAGTTTAGAATTAATAATATAACTTTGATAATGATATTAATGTCATTAATATACCTTCAGATAATAACAAATAACAGTTTGGTAATTGTTTCATATTAAAATAGAGAGAGATGTGTAGTTTATGGAGATTACTTCTAATATTGACATCGTTAATACAAATCATAATTCTTTAGACAACATGGACAAATATACATATTTAATGTTTGTATTATCAAATTTGTATTATTAAATCTGTATTGAAAAAGTGATTTTAAAATGTATAGTTTTGTTTGTTGTTTAACGCCGCAGTCAGCATGATTCCAGGTATATGACGGCGGTCTGTAAATAATCGAATCTGGACCAGACAATCCAGCGATTAACATCATGAGTATCGCGCAATCGGGATACGATGACATGCATCAACCAAGTCAACGAGTCTGACCACCCGATCCCGTTAGTCGCCTCTTACGTCCCCAGGGGCGGTCGGGTAGCAATCTCTCGTCACACCGAAGACCCGGGTTCGAATCCCGACATGGGTACAATGTGTGAAGCCCATTTCTGGTGTCCCCCGCCGTGATATTGCTGGAATATTGCTAAAAGTGGCGTAAAACCAAACTCACTCACTCACTCTTACGTCCCCATGCTTATAAGTAAGCTTTCAATTCTGTTGGGCTCTGCAGAGAAGCAGGGCACATATACGTACATAAAACGTGCTTGGAATTTTTGGCCAGAGGCATATCATATTTAAATCATATTTAAATACATGTAACATAGCAGCAGGGCATATGTACATATCGATTTTATCCCGACATATCAAACATTATAATTTGTTTGTTTCTTTTGTTATTTAATTAACGCCGCACTCATGAATATTCAAGCTATCTGGCGGCGGTCTGTAAATTAACGTGGTACGAGTTGAAAGCGCGAGTCAATTAAAACTGTGTTTAGTGTGTGTGTGTGTGTGTGTGTGTGTGAGTGTGTGAGTGTGTGAGTGTGAGTGTGTGTGTGTGTGTGTGTGTGTGTGTGGTCCACACGATCAATTTCACAAAATAATTGCTCACATCGCGTGAATTTTTCTGTCCGTTCACAGGTGTGTGAACTCCAAATATCAGATCACGCGACTACCCATTCAGCCAATCAGCATGAAAGAAGCAGTGTAAACTTTAAAGTATGAAATGATATATGTATAATCAATGTCTGTACAAATATATTAGGGAAAGGGACACCTAGGTTGGATAACGTTTGCTCAATCCCGTTGACCATTTACGTCAATAAAATATGTTTAAAACAAACGTCATGCTTGTTATGTTGGGAGGATAAACGTTTCAAAGTTTTAAATTTGTAAAAAAATTATTTCCGGTTGACAACTGCACAAAATGTACATAATAAATAGGTTATTCCATGTGTCTCGTGAAAAATCCTCTTTGTATGCTCAAACAGTTGTTGTTTTTGTAATAAATTAAAGGAAAAGAATCACGGCAACAATGATCGTTCACTTCTGCCCCCTAAGATTGAACAGACATTCGGGTTCTACTAGATGGCTACAGTAAAAACATAGCTTATGATGGATGTTTTATGTAACTGATGAAACATATGTTAATAATGATGAAGCTTGCTGATCCTTTGTTGGTCGTTGTACTAATGACCGGGTTTCACTGATTGTGGTCAGATGGCAACAATGGCCACTCTCCCACATATAGACTAACATCAACACATGGAAATCAGGAAATTATGTATAACCTTCAAGGCAATGTGAGATAAGTGATCGAGGGAATAGACTTGTTGTGGACTTACTGACCTCAGTATGTTCAGAAATAAAATGTCTCGCGAATTTATCGCATTTGGCTGTCAACTAATTGTTTAAATGTTTGTCCTGTTAAGTAGGATGATCACTTCACTATATGTCGACGTTTCAGGTAATCATTTCACAATAGATATACGGTTCACATGTGGTAACAATGAATACCAAACACTGAGCAAAAGCCTCGTGAATTCTACTGACATCGGCCAGAAGGTTAGTAAACAGCGAATTTACTATCTCTCCCGGTAGATTGCACGCGGATGCTGACGTTTAGTAAATATCACTTATTAAAATAGTATAAATCACTACTTAAACCACACTGTAAAATTGTGTTAACAATGCAAACACATACAAGATATGTTTAACAATGTGTTCCAACCCTAAACGGTATGTACATTTGCTGTGTTCAATCTGAACACGTTTAGGGTCTAAATACAGTAAATGAGCAACTGCCTCACTGAGTAAACATCACCTACACATAACATTCCCATAATCCAAACATGTTTAGAATCAAAACACAATTAAACATGTTTAGAATACCATTCAGTTACAGAAATGATGTCAGATGCAAATTCTTATTTTGACCTGTACCACATGTTCCCGTGCTTTTTTTCAGGTTAACATGTGACTTGTTTTTGTATGTGTTTGTTTACTTATTGGTTAACGCCGCACTTAGCAGGTCTGTAAATTATTGAGTACTAGTTTGTTTGTTTTTTTCTATTTGAAAAAATGCCTTCTTATAGGAAAAGGAAATGTTATTCTTTCAGACAGTAGCACGGCAAGTGTAATATATTTATTATGTACCCTTTGCTTGAACAACGAATATGTCGTCCTTCATGAAATAAGTATATTTTATGTTTGACTGATTTTGCAAGAACGGGCGCTTTACTCGGCTTGTGTGTCCGCCATTCTTGCACATGCATACTCAACAGCAATCTCACATTGCAGAGGGGCACGGGTGGCCCAGTCGTCTAAGGCGCCACAATTCACTGTGCACAGTTGCGTCCCTTGGGCACGCCAGAAACCTATGATCGTGGGTGCGAATCCCGGTTCGCCCCGATTGTCAGCACCATACCCGTGCTCGTGGGTTTCACCGAAGTGGTAAACGTCTGAGACCTGCATCTCTTCGGGCTTTCCTCTCACATTAAGCTGACACTTTGGAATAATGTTTAAGGCGGCGTTAAACCCAATGCACTCACTCACTCACATTGTAGAGAAGTAGTTAGCACAAGTTTGATTTCATTCTCGTTATTTGATGCCTACGGTACAATTAATTAATAAACTACTTAAGAACACAACAGTGTTGTCATCCATTAAAACATGAATTTGAACATTAGAACATATGTAAAAAATGCATATTACTTTATATTGTTTTATTTTGTCATCTTATTGTAATATCATTTACGATCATTTTCATGTCAAAAGCCATAGATTTCGATCCAATATAAAAATATTTAACCAGTGTAAATATATTCATCATTGTCTTATTTAATCGCAAATTTATTTGTGTTTTTTAGAAATATAACAAGCGCACTAACATAAAATATGCTTGATTTTCGATTTGTACCATAAAAAATGTTATCGATTGGAAAATCATGATTAAAGTAAGCATCAGTTCTGAATTTGAAATAATGTATATTCTTGTATAAAATGTTTAGCATCTTCAAATGGATCTCAATATGGACAATATTATATCACCGTATCTTGTACTATAATTGTCTGTTAAGATAATTGAAATAGGACAACTTTTGCCCGGCTATGCTACTTGGTTATAGACTTGAATACAAAATAAACTGAGCATATTTTCCAGGGCGTTCAGCTGGGGTACCATGTAGGTAGCAGAAGTTCCGTAAGTCCCCATGGTCCCTAGTATGGTGGCTTAGCTTTGGTTACTGGCGATCTATAGCCCATTTTAATCATGTATTGTTGAATGAAAGATTATTCTTTTAATTGTTTTACTCCTAAACTGATAGTCTAGTTTTCATACTGTCCGTCGATGACAGGTTTTTATTCGTCTAAATTTAAGTGTTATTAATGTTCTCGTGACGATATGGTTGAAATATTGCCGATGTGACGTTAAATTTTAACTCACTCACTCACTCCAGTGCGTTCAAGTTAAATAAATGCATTCCGTTTGTACGACAAAAGCATTAATTATAAGTGCGATGCGCTTACACAACAGGACTGGTTTTATACGAGTTACGAAATCTACGTCTCGTTTTAGCCAATATCGGACATACAAACAAATAATAATATTCGTCGTCGTTATCTTAAACCACATTAAGAGTATATTATTTTATTATGTATGATACATTGCTATCAACCTACTTCCGTTTGCTTATGGCTAAATTAAGACGATCACGCCAATGACATTATTTCAATATTTGCATTTGGTTTGGTTTGCTTTGTTGTTTAACGCCGCACTCAGCAGTATTCCAGCTATATGACGGCGGTCTGTAAATAATCTAGTCTGGACCAGACAATCCAGTGATTGACAGCATGAGCATCGATCCACGCAATGGGCCGGGGATAGATGGCATGCATCAATGATTGTAAGTAACATTCAAAATTGAAAGTATTTGGTATACCATTATGAGTGACATCTCTACGAGAATAGTTATGTTATAAAACCATTGGTGTTTCATATTACAGTTAAACATATGACATGATATTTATTGATATTTCTCTTTAAATGAAGGATACAATAACAAATTAAGTACGAATAATAAACATTTAGGACTAAGTCTTAAACTTGATAATATGACACAATTATACACGTGCACTCACACAAGACATGTGAATGTTCCTATTGGTTTTATGGTTTCTAGAGGACTGATCCCGATTATCGTTCTTTAGAATCCAGGGGTAAGCTCAATGGATACCGTTCAAGATACGTGTTTGTGGCTTCCTAAAGTGTTTCAATTCCTGCTTCGCTTGGGGCCTCCCACATAACAATACCCAGCTCGAGTTGTTGCGCCTGTTATAACTGAAATACAACTCAAAGCAAATTCAAACAAAACACAAACAAGCACTCTACTCACCCCTTCCATTTTACAACTGCAGGTGCGTTTCTGATTCCTCACATGATCTTCATGATTGTTGTGGCTGTACCTCTGTTCTTCCTGGAGGTTGCTCTTGGTCAGTTTTCCCGCAAAGGACCCATAGGGGTGTGGGCGATGTGTCCTCCAATGAAAGGTAAATAATAACGGTTACATCGACTTATATTATTGACAAGATCCAAGTGTAGTAATGAAGTCACACAGTTTTCCTCAGCTGTCAGTCGAGAATAATCCTGCATAATGTTGATATCAGAGGAAGTTGATAAATTCTCCAAAATGAAGCTTGACTATCGAAACTGATACCAATCGATGAAGCCCTTCACGGAAACATACATGTTAATAAACTTTGAAATACTCCACCTCCACTACTTGTATTAAGCTTTGGGTCCACCCGGTTGCGAATGCCCCCATACAGACATCAGGAAAGAAGGAACAACAGATTTCGGTCAACCTCCATGCTGATTTATTTGATGTTTTGTGTGCATAGAAGGAAATTCAAAGAGATGGTAAGATTCGTGATTCATTTCGTTTGCAAGGTATCGGCTATGGTATACTTATTCTCAGCTGTGTGATCATCCCGTACTACAGCATGGTATTTGCATGGGCCCTCTACTACCTGTACAGCTCCTTCTCCATCGACCTGCCTTGGGCAACTTGTGGCAATTCATGGAACACACCGCTGTGTGTGGCTGCTGGAGAGTCGAGACGTACCACTAATAGTTCGGCAGAGATTGCTATGCTAAGTCTCAACACCACGGAAACGATGGATTCAAACCAATCTGAAACATTTACAAATGCATTTGGTCACACTTCAACGGAGGAGTTTTGGCAGTAAGTTTTCTTCATTAGTTCTATGTTTAACATAATGTTTTTTTGTTTTGTTTTTAAATTTTATTCAGTCATATACACAGGATACATATGCACTCGAAAAACAGTACAGCTTCATGAATACAGGTACTTCTCAAAATGATGTGGTACAGAGGAGGCCTAAGGCATAATCCACAGCATGGTACAGATGAAGGCATATTTATGTATACAATTAAGAAGATGCGGTATTTATGGTACATCAAATTATGTTGCAAGCATCCAGTGAATAAGTTATTTTGCAGTTTGAGTAAACAAAGCCCATTTTCTATTAAAGGCAGAGAAGTCGTTATTTCTACGTGCGATATGATATGCAACGTCATAGATACTTCTTATTGTGTTCTTAAAAACAACAAAGTCAACATTTTCATTCTTAATACACTGGACAAAGATAAATCTTTTAGCAGCTACAATCAAATGGTTAATTAATACATCAGAGGTACCAAAGAGGAGCTCATTGTCAGTTATAAGGATTTTTCTATGCAAGATATGAGTCAAGTAAATACAGAAATCTGACCAGAAATTCTTAACAACATTACATTCGATATAAACATGAAAAACATTTTCTTTGTGAGTATGACACATAGAACACTCATCGTTATCATTAAGTTTCATTCTTAATAACTCACGTTTAGTAAATATTACTTTATGAATAAATCTAAACTGGAAATCCCTGAGTTTTGTGTCCCTTAACCCATGGCAATATACACTGAATATTTGATTCCATGGAAAAGAACATCCTAGCTGATTTTCCCATTTCAAACACGATTTAGGGAGAGGGAGGGAATTCCCTATCAGTTTATTATAAAAAAACTTTTGTTTCTTTAATAGAACGTGTAAGATCATAAATCCAAGGAGATACTGTGAGATTAGAAGAGGAATGTAGATTTTTATCAATATTTTGTCTCAAACTTCTTGGAATATTAAAAAACATACGGTTATAGTCGAGAAAAGTTCCTTTAAGATCATAAAGTTGTTGTAAACGTGGGAAAGGGATCAATCCGTTTTCATCATACAAGTCTTTTATCGTAACTATACCTTTTTTGTACCAGTCATTAAAAAATAATACTGGATCTCTAAAATAATGGTTTAACCATATGGGTTGGGAAGCAATTTCTGCTTTTTCTAAGTCTTCAAAGTCATATGAATGCATTAAGTCACTCCAGGCTATGAGGGTATCTTTCCAGAAAGGATTTACAATTTCCAAATTCTTGTGCAAACTGGCACCTAAAGTGTAGATATGAGCCAGCTGAAAACTAGCAAGGTCATAATTAATGTCTTTTTCGCAATATCTTTTTAAACATAAAATTTTCAAAGATGATATAAATTTGGGTATATCAGTCATTTTCAATCCACCTTTACTGTAATTCCTTTTCAAATAATCCCTCTTAATCTTATCTCTTTTGCCACTCCAAATAAAGTTAAAAAGAATTCTATTCAATTGATCAATAAAAGCTTTTGATGGATTTGGGAGAGCGGAAAAAATATGTACAAGGGTAGAGAGAATTAAAGTCTTAACAACTGTCATTTTACCCATCAAAGTCAAATTACGTTTTTTCCATTTGCTTATAATACCATAGATATTATCACGGCATTTTTTAGTGTTGATCACCCAAAGGTCTTTTAAGTCAACATTAAAACATATGCCCAAAACTTCAAAGTTGCCATCATGCCAATCTAGCTTTAAGTTAGGACAAAATCGGACTTTACTACCAGCCATACTGCCTATCCATATTGCTTTGGTTTTTTCAAAGTTCATTTATGTTTAACAAAATGTTATCTGTCCAAGGTTGTTACTTATTATGTATTCATCATGTCATATTTTTAAGATACAAAGTCCTTGTTATTTCCTCGGGCATAGAAGACATGGGATCGCTGCAGCCGCATCTCGTCATTTGCTGGTTTCTTACCTGTCTGAGCATGTTCCTGTGTGTGATGAAAGGTGTCAAGTCTCTTGGAAAGGTATTGTTGTTTTAGTAATAGACGTTGTCTTTCTACATTGCATGTTTCTTTTTATGAGCGTTTCTACAAGATTCTCATTTCATCATTTGCGTTGTGTTATTGTACTGTCTTATCGTATTAATAACGAGCGAAAATTAAAGTGTATTTCTATGGTCATGCTATGTGGTATCATGTTTATTTGACATTTAAAAGCAGACCTGTGTTTGATCATTCGATAATGATTTCGATCTGTTTGTATCATAGGTGGTGTACGTAACTGCGACGATGCCATATGTCTTGTTGACTGTGCTGCTGGTCAGATCGTGCATGATGCCGGGTGCTGTGGATGGGATTTTGTTTTACCTAACTCCAGATTTCATGCGTCTTCAAACTACCCAGGTCAGCAAATTCAATGAATATTGGTCTTACAAAAAAATAACGTGCGAAATCACCCAATTACTCTAACGACTTGCTTTAATTCATAGGTGTGGTTAGAAGCAATTCTTCAGGTTTTCTTCTCTTCGGGGCCAGCTTGGGGATCGCTGATTGTCATAGCAAGCCACAACTCTCCCCACAACAATATTGTCAGGTGAGGGTTGCATGAATCCACACCACTGCACTGAAACGATCCACGTATAAATATTTAGCACAGTGGATGTGTTGCCATTCCGTTTCTTCTATATTGTGTTCGGGGGCACGGGTGGCCCAGTCGTCTCAGTCGCCGCGATTCACTGTGCAGAGTTGCGTCCGTTGGGCACGCCAGAAACCTATGATTGTGAGTTCGAATCCCGATTCGCCCCGATTATGTTTCTAGGTTTGTCAGCACCATACCCGTGCACTTGGGTTTCACTGAAGTGGTAAACGTCTGAGATCTGCATCACTTCGGGCTTTTCTTCAACATAAAGCTGACACGCCGTGATATAACAGGAATACTGTTAAAAGTGGCGCTAAACCCAACTCACTCACTCACTATATTGTGTACAAATATACGGGAGGAAAACAATTTATCATTGGGATGAATGTAATAACATACACTTATACAGCCATGAAAATCAAATAACATGTCTTTACATTTTCAGAGATGCTTTACTAGTTACCTTATTAGGCGAGTTGACAAGCGTGTATGCCGGTTTTATTGTGTTCGCGACAGTCGGTTTCCTGGCTCACAATCTTGAGCTACCTGTTGCTGACGTCATCACATCAGGTGAGTTAAATGCATGTCTGTTTCTCAAACAATAAACAAACACGTATGTAGATGATATGTGCCATAACGTTTTGTGCATGTAGTGATTTACTGAACGCAATGAAAACACAAAATTACCTTGAGCTCGAAATCAGAAAAGTTGTGTTTTTGTGCTTAAGTCCATCTCTAAACACACTGAATTACTCGCACAACGAGATTGTTTGGTTTGATTATTTCATATCTGAACACCAAAAATATATGAGAAAATAAAAAAATGCGTCTTTAAAAAAATGTGTAACTATGTATAGATGGGTGTCAGAGAAAAATGTACAATTGCATATTACCTATGCATTCTTTCCACTTCATAAACAAAACTGCGGGATTTAAAAGCGCGGGATTTCAGATTAGAATTGGCCTCCGGCAACCTTTGATGGTTGGAAGAGGCGACATAATGAATCAGGTCGGTGACTTGGTTGATGTCATCGTGCAAATACACATCAATCCAAATACTTCTAATCAGTTTATTACACGGTGACTTTATTGATGATATTATCGTGCCCCGGTGGTGTGGGGGCGGACGGGTAGCCTAGTGGTTAAAGCGTTCGCTCGCCACGTCGAAGACCCGGGTTCTAATGTGTGAAGTCCATTTCTAGTGTACCCCGCCGTGATATTGCTGGAATATTGCTAAAAGCGGCGTAAAAACCATACCCACTCACTCACTCCCAACGGCGTGGCGTGCCGTGGCTCATAACATTAATCACCTGAGTGTTTAATCGAGTCTTTATTATTACAGTTTGCCGTCATGTAGCTAACATATTGCGGAGCTCAATAACAAACTATATGAAATATCAACACATTGTAAAAAATCATACTCTTCCTCATTTCATCAAAAACATCATTATACGTTTACATCAGCAATGGCGAAACTGACAATGCGACGAAATACCTGCGTACTGCTTTGGCAAATACTTTGGGTCAAATGAACAAAAATACATAAATGACGAGTTATAAAAACAGTATGCGATAGATACTACCATTTATAACTTTTACGCCACACGAGTCGACATGGAGGATACGAAACACATGAACAATCCAATACTAGAATCAGTTTATCTCATGTTGTCAATGAGATGATATTTATTTTACAGCTTTGATGTTTTCAGCGTCTTGTCTGAAAATATGTTTCTCATAATGACCATTAGTGCCATTAGTTCATTGTTGTGTTTCATGAAAGGTCCAGGCATTGGATTTGTAGTCTACCCTGAGGCAGTATCACTTCTTCCTGTCCCCCAGCTGTGGTCGGTGCTCTTCTTCTTAGTCGTGTTGATGATGGGCTTCGACACCATGGTATACCATTGGTTTAGGCTGTTGCTGAATCATGTGAACTTTTTGTGGTCTCTGGTGGTCTATTGCTCGTATTCTAAGTGTATGAGATTGAATAATGGTGTATGTTGTGATTGGAGTGAAATACTGTCGAAGTGACGTTGAGTTATACCTCAATCACTCACTGATTGCGTGTTTGCAATTTTGATCCTCCGTCAGTAAGTTACCACAAAGAAGCCACTATAATGTAAGAGACAAGTGAGAACTTGTGAGTGAGAGTTAGTTGGATGTAAGGCCACTCTGAAGAGTATTTCCGTCATGACACTGCGTGTGGCACGGAAAGCCCAAAGTGATTGGATGGCCGAGGTGGTCACCTTTTCGACGAACGAGTCTGACACACTTAGAATCATAATTATTAATCTGAGCGATTCATCAGATTTGTTACGAATAAGGGGCAAAACACCGCACAGCTAATTATTGTGCCTTTAGGCGACTGGGACATGTTGATGTTGGTGTATGTGAAGGCTCCATATAATGTAAACCAAGACCTTATATGTGAACAGTTTGGAATTATCGAGGCAGCAACTGGATGTGTGAAGGATATCCTGCCCAGACGATTGCACAAGAAACATCTTCCAACTGTTACAGCTGCTTGGTTTATGGGTGCAGTTTTCGTTTGTGGACTTATCTTTACCAACAATGTGAGCAAAGTCATTACGATATAGTTGTGTATGTTGTGCCTTAATGCAGGATTGGATTTGATGCAATTAGTTAATGATTTGGCATAGTTGAAAGATTCATGTGACATTCTATGAAAACGAATACTCTAATCCCATTGTTGTGATAATTTCGGATGTTTTTTCCACTTAATGTGTTTGTAAACAACATCCGAAAACATTTCAATCCAGCTCATTCAAAGTTTACACTTAAACAGAGCCAATCGTGAAGATTGTCTGGTCAATATGATCTGATAAAGATAAAGAACTACATGCCTTGCAATGTTCATCCATCTGCGACCAACTACCTTTGCATATTTCAGGCCGGAGTGTACATGTTCCAGTTACTAGACTGGTATGTGGGTACTGTGACTTGCTTTGTCGTCGGCATATCGGAATGTCTGGTTGTTGGATGGTTGTATGGTTTGTGTAAACATGTTTCCTTTGTTTCTAACTATGGGTATATTAACACTGACTTGTTGAACTAATTGTGAATGCCTGATTAGTTCATGATCAGAACACACAATTCAGAATATGGCATTTCTGTAATGATTTGCATTTGTTTTGATAGTCTATATATACTCAAAGGCAATTTGATATGCAGAGTAGGAGAATCTATCAAACGGGCTTACTGCCTTGGGTTGAATTATATCTCACGGAAATGACAATGTCTGAAGGTAGGGTAACGAGCAACAGTCTATATGAAGAGCCTTCCTGGTAATGGCAAATGAGTTATGTCACACGATGGGTTTCCGAGGCAAGTTCACACTGTCAATAGCGAGTGTATCCATTCTGTGCATGGATGCATGCCTGTCACGTCCCCTCTGAGTGTTGATGAAAGGCCTGAGGAATACTCTTCCATTTCCGAAGAAGGATAAGCCGGAGCTCCTGCAAAATTGTTGAAGAATTTGAAGACTTTGCTAACATCCTTCCATTTCATCCTAAACACGTTTAGTTGGTCACAGAACAGATGGTCCCTGGTGTCAGGGTGACACATTAGTATTGATATTAGTCAGATAGCGTTTGCACAACTGCGACAACATGTGGTCAGGCGTTATTGTGATGTAAGGCTGTTCTGTTGGAAAAACAGTAAAACGACCGTTTGACAAAATGTTATCACGGTATCTCGCAGCCTTCAAATACCAACTCATAGCCGAAATACCGCCACAGATAATTCACGTAACGTTCACCTCGACGTCGTTAGAGACACGCGTCCTGTAAGGTGTCCGGAAGGTGAGTGTTGCTGTCTAGAGCCTGTGTTGAAGATGCGTGGTTCGCATCTATGTCTTGGCGAGGAATTGTAATTTGTGATCGGAACAGTGTCTGATGTGGCTGTGTTGTTGATGATGTCACAGTAATGGCTATACTAGGGACGTTTCTTCTTTATGGAACATGTTCACTGGTTCAAATGAATACATTCGTATAAAGGTTTGTAAGTGAAAGTAACTTTTGCCTTTGAGTATATATATTTTTCAAGGATGCCGTTAAGGAAGTGTCACATACACACTTCTTTTGGTTCATGTATGCAACATAATGGAGGGTTATTTTTCTATTAAAGTAACAATCTGATGATTAGAATGACATGGATAATGATCAATACACTGTTGTATTTGCTTCAATTCAGTTGTATCGGAACGCACATTTAGAATTCTATTAGATTCGTCCAACATGTGTTCTGTACTTGTTTCATTCATGTTTACTAGGTGTGAAACGTTTCTCTGTTGACGTGGAAGCTATGATTGGAAAGCGGCTTCCAGTTGTCTATAAGCTGATGTGCTTCATCGTTGTACCTGTCGTGCTGCTGGTAGGGTGTAATACTATTATCCAATGAATTAATACTCTTGTAGTGATTGCTCGTTAGACATGCTATGACGAATAGGAAAGACATAACAATTTTTCAAGTTATTTATGTGTAAATACCTTGTTTCTAATTTTGTGTCAGAAGGGTATATTTGGAGAATGGTTAGTAAGATAATAACGCATTGATTGAGATGAGATTGATAACTGTAACTGATAGAACTTAGGTCCGACTTTCAGTAACGTCAGCACAATATCACGGGCGTTAACAGACCATTTTGGACGTTAAGCAAAGACACGGCGGTTATTGCTGACTATGCATACTTCTTACAAAACAAGCATCAGTAACTATTTTGTGGATTCACACGCTTACTATCTAGTCAGTTGCGTACAATATTCTATACTTTTAGCAAAGATCTGTTATGATTTCGGACAGGACTTTGTCGTTTATAGTTTTGCATTAACGTAAGCTGCACTTTTCTCATCAGCATGATTCGTGTCTCACCATCGCACAATGGAAAAATTGGAACACTAACAGGAAAATCCTGATAACCCTGATACAATTATGTTAGCTAAACATACCTCTGAGTGTTTATAATTCGAATAAACATTGTTCTACATTTATCATTTCCGGGAGTATGTTTAGTTAACCCAATGTCGAACCAACTTATATATTATATATTTCGGTTAGCATATATTAGCTGAGTGTATTTTTAATGCTGTGACATTTTCTATCTTAAACTGGTATTATTTTAAAGAGTATACTCTTTCTCTCTTTCTCTTACACAGGCAGCTATGATTCTAACCATCGCTAGCTACAAGCCACCAGCATACGGGAACTATGAGTACCCATCAATCGCTGTCACCATTGGTTGGTGTATTGCTGTAGTGTCAGTAGTTCCTATCCCTGTTACCATGGTGATATATATTCTGATGCAGAGCGGCTCCTTCGCTAAGGTTTGTATTATGCATAAAATATATTTTGTAAATTTGGTGCAGCTGATAAACACTATGACAGAAGACCCGCTGGCTCATTCTCGAAATCTAAATTATGATAACCTGGTTTATTATTTTCAAAACATTTCGGCCTTTCATATTTTATTTAGTATTGAATTACCTTTTCTCACCACTTATTCGTTGCAAGGCCGCTGTCGATACAATATGATGATAATGTGTAGATAGTTTGTAATAAGTTGTTAATCATTTTAGCGTGTGAAGACAGCCATAACACCAAGCCCTGAATGGCGACGATGCAGACTGCGATATGGTATTACGGAGGACGGAGACGTGTCGAACAACTTGAAGGAAAACATTCTGCATGTTTTCAATCGATAATAGAAGGAACACATTTCAACGTCACTTATATACCACTTTCAACACCACTTCATACTTCCTTCATTCAACATTTTCAACATTCCGTTCTTCAGTTTGAATTAATATACGATTCGATTTCATATCACAATTATCATTACCTATATTTAAAATTATCTCAAGCTTAAGAACATTAAGGAAATAACACTATATAGTTTATCCAACGCATCGGCTTAGATTACTGATCAAAGGATTTGTTAAATCGGTTGTCAATTCATACTGCATAACGAGACAGAACTGAGCGCAGTCTGGTTCCATAAACATATAACGGGTTTTTCTTTCAAATGTACATGTATATTGACAAATCTATTTGAGTAATGATGATATATCTGATATATAATATTATATGTATGAATGAACACGTTGTTTATTACGATAAGTAGCGACATTTCGGTGAAGGAACTTGCACCGTTATCACGCAAGTGATGTACAGAGTAACATGTTTTGGGATTTGTTCTTCTACACTTTGTTACTTTTGGTGAAAAAGTAGAATTTTCCATTAGGTTACGGTCACGGGTCGCCCAGTCGTCTCAGGCGCTGCGATTCGCTGTGCAGAGTTGCGTCCCTTCGGCACGCCAGAAACCTATGATTGTGATTTGAATCCCGGTTCGCCCCGATTATATATGTTTCTAGGTTTGTCAGCACCATACCCGTGCTTGTGAGTTTCACCGAAGTGGTAAACGTCTGAGACCTGCATCACTTCGGGCTTTCCTCACACATTAAGCTGACACGCCGTGATATAAGGGGGCGTTAAAACCAACTCACTCACTCACTCCATCAGGTTAATTTTGAAGGAAAGATCAAATTGTTTGATTTGGGATATCCTTTACCGTTATCGAGCCTTTCTTCCAATTTTCAGAATCATATATAGGAATATTAAAGATATTAAACTTCATGTATTTGTTTTCGGTTCTGAGCTTGTTTAATTGTTCATAGGTCATCATGTAGTCCAACGTCTTCGCTGGGGCCTGTATTGAGTTTCACCCGGTTTTGTTGTGTTGTTTTCCTTTTTACATTTTCAGCTGGCTAGCTGAGGTGTATTGTTCATGAAATTCTCAGAAAGAATTATCGAACTTTCTTCAGAACATTCATCAGACTCCTGTAATCTGTAGCAACGTCACTTCTTTCGTCCGTCCCTGGCGGTTCAACTGAAATCTTCTTGTTACACTGACTTCTCATTTCGTCGTTGCATATATGTTAAACGCAAATTAGTGCACACATGAAACAGAGAGATGACTCACTGCACACCGGAGACACCGGATCTGTAAATAAAAGCCACCAAGCTGTTTAACGTTCAAACAGTCTGACGATGGTTGCACGTGTACATTTGCAATTTCTTGCAATCTGGTTTTGGTTGGCATACATTTGCCTCATTCCTAGGCTCTCTGCCGCTGTTGTGTAGCTAAACGATACATTGCATGTGTATACTATTTCTACAGGATGTTTTTGAAGCTTCCCGAAAAAAGGTGTTTTTGCGATTTTTCAGTGCTGCAAATGCATCATCCCAACCAACGGGGTGTGTTTTGGGGCATAAAGTTTGTAGTATATAGCGGCAAATGTTTCATCCTCGTAATGTTGTGATTACGTTTGTTTTTGGTCAATTTTCCTGTGTGTACATGAAGTACGTGTATATACGATTTCTCTTACATTCAAGATAATAATTTCGATGACATATATTGTGTTAGGTCGGTTTAAGTTTCTGTTTGTTCACAGATGTATATCAACATGTACGTATGGTCGTTTCTAAAGGGCAAAAAATAAACGCTGGATTGATATGTGTTGTATTTTTCCTTCATACCATAATGACAAATATGATCGTGATTTTATCGTGTGTATGTTTAATGAATACAACATTGTCTCATAAACCATTCCATATATTGAGCTGAATGAATATCAACATCTGGATATGTCCAAGATACAGCTGCAGTAAATCTTAAATAATGACAATATAAATTATATACGTACCGAGAGTTGTTTAAATTGCAAGTGTTCAAGGTATATCACATTTGTAAGTCAACTTTGTCCAGTGAGTGAAATAACTGCTGCAGCCTTTGCACATATAGAGGAATATATTCTGGTAATTCATGTTTAATAGGCTTTGATAGAAAAATGTGGGAATTGTGTTCAGTCTGCTTGCTGACAGTGCAATATTACTCTGCTCATGTAGTACCAAAAGTTATGTTATGCATAAAGAAAAAGAAATGTTCGTCGCAATCGAAAACTTTTTGATGAATACAAGTGTCAATTAGGACATTATTATCGTAATTATCGCCACTTAGATGTCAACCTCGCAGTAATCTGTCTATGAAATATGAGACACATTGACAACCACAATTGCTTTTCATCTAAACTTTTTACAAGTATATATAGGTGATGGATGAGCATGCCATGCTGGACTAGATAGACTCACACATACTACAGAGCGGAGTGGTACCTTGTCTGAAACGCTCCCCCGTGACACCAAAGGCCCCAGTACGATTCCCGGAATGAATACAATTGGTAAAGCCAAATTCTGGCGTGAACTTCTGTATTATTCCTGAACTATTGCTCAATTCGGCTTCACAACCAACTCACCCACTAACTCAAACACCTATGTACATGTACATGTGCTCGATATGAAGAATCGTATGGTGTATATCTCGTAATTAGGTGAAGCCTGGCTCGTAATTATGTCATAACAACGAGATAGTAAGTGAATGAGTGAGCGAGTTCGGTTTAACGCCGCATTTAACAGTATTCCAGTTATAGCGCGGCGTGTCACCTTAATGTGAGAGGTAAACCCGAAGTGATGCAGGTCTCAGACGTTTACCACTTCGGTGAAACCCACGAGCACGGGTATGGTGCTGACAAACCTAGAAACATAATCGGGGCGAACCGGGATTCGAACCCGCAATCATAGGTTTCTGGCGTGCCCAAGGGACGCAATTCTGCACAGTGAATCGCGGCGCCTGAGACGACTGGGCCAGATAGGTATTGTCTTTACACCGATGTATTTACGTGTGAAATAGTACAGACATTAGTTTCAAACGTGCAATATAAACAGAATGAACACAGAGAACAAGGTTTTGTTAATGTCTTCGTCATGTTCATCCCCGCCCAGCAGGTCGCTCGCTTTGCCTGAAGCGATAATTGATAACTGTCCACATGTTCCAGGTCAAGTAAACCTGCTTTTTCAGTGTGAAGAGAATTATCTTCGAAAAATCACGTTGCTCTGTAGCAGTGTACAGCTCCATGTATATCATATCCTGCATTCAACAAAGATTACAGCTGCTTGTATATCACAGCATCATGCAATCAGCAATATTAGTAACCTATACCACGGCGCTGTGTAGTAAGCGAGTGAGTGAATTAGTTGTGTTCAACGCAAGTGTGAACAGCATGTCATTTATATAACGATGTGCTGCAGCTGTCAATTAACACAGCGACCTGCAGCTGAATGGGATGCTTTAAGCGGGTAAACAGCAATATTGCAGTTACATGTAACATATAATATATAATAAGTTAATAAAACACGTCCACTCGACACCAATGTCAAAAAATGCCAAATGCATATCACGGGATCCTATATCACGCTGATTGAAGATGAGAATCAAATTTCATTCTTGTTGATATTTCTGTTGATAAATCCAATTGGTTTGTGTCCAACTTTTTAAAATTGAGATGAGAGTAAGGTCTCCGTCCTGCCTAACCGGTAAGGAGAAGAAGGCAATCGCTGAAATGCTGAGATTATATACTGACGCGCAAAAGAAACGTCACCATGGATAGATATATGAGAAACCTTATTTGTCCAAACACTGTAAACATACTTTGAGACATATTAAAAAGATCAAACTTGGCAAAACTGATCATCAAGGTTGAAATGGGAGTGTCAAATGTTCTCAAAATGAAACACAACACTAGTTGCTGAGATAATGGCATCACAAGTCAGTATCTCGTGTGTCCGCCATGTGAATTGATGACTGCAACGTCGATACGTGTTATGGATGAGGCGGTTGATGAAGGCCATGGGCACTTGACCCCACACTCTGAGGAACGCCTGACGCAGTTCACCTGCGGTTGTCGGCCTTGGTCGGACGTCATTCAGCCGTCTTTGAATCTCGTCACACAGGTGCTCAATGTGATTTAAATCGGGACTGAGGGCAGGCCACTGCATTGTTCTGAAGCCATACTGCTGGAGGAAGTCTCTTGTTGCTTTTGCAGTGTGGGCACGGGCGTTATCATGCTGAAACTCGTGGTTACGGCGACGTGCCAAATGAGGTATTACGTGTGGTATCAAGACTTGATCAATGCACCGAGCTGCTGTGACACCTTTGTCTCTCCCTGGACCGATGTTCTGGAAGACCACAGGGCCGACCCTCTGTGCAAGACCAATTTGGGGAAGGGCTCAAATCTTGTGTGGAAGACTGACTCGAAAACAAGGTCTGACGGATTGAACGCAATTTAGTAATATATTGAAGAGATAGTTAAATAGGTGTGTTCCCATTCTGCCTACAGTAGAATCATGAAGTGATACGGTTTGATGCTCAGAAGGTAATGCATGAGTGAACATGACTTCTACCTGTTTCACCTGTGATAGGCATCACGGAAAACACGTGTGAAATGAAACAAAACCATAACACATGATGGAAGTCACGGATCTATTATATTTATAAGATAACACAGAAGAAAAATAACAATAGTTTTGCCAATACTTTCACATTCAATCAACCAAAGTTATTGCACAAATTTTATAAGTGACCCGCGGCATCTAAGAACTGCATTGTTGTCCTTCAGTTTCATTAACCTGCTGTCCATTTCCCTGTGCACACGTTTTCGGATTTGGGGAAGGCCTCCGAGATCCAGTTGGGCACGCTTTGCATTGTTCACTGCTTCCAGGTTCTTTATATGATTCACGAACAGGAAGATGTAGGGATGGGCCTTGGAGATCCTGTTTTTCAGTTGATGATGCCACCCTTCGAGGTGGGTGTTGGTGCGGGGTCCAATATTTCTATATTGACTCCACATGCGCCCTTGAAATCTGGCGTCATAGTCAACCCAGGTTGACGTCATGTAGCCATTGATTGATCTGATCTCGGAGTCAGGGCCTTCCTCCATCACTGCGATCCAGGCGTCTTAAACTTAGTCAAGTGGCAGTGGGGGAAGGGCTGCAGCTTGTCTGACATGGGCTTGGACATGTGGGTTATCCTTGTAGTTGGCAGCAAGCACCACGTGTCAGCCTCCTGAAGAATGTTCAGCATATCATCAGTTGCAAGCACAAGCAGCTTGTCATTGTCACCATAATTCACACACAGAAACTGATCTCCAGGTTTCGTTTTCGACCACCATCCCTCTAGCGGACATCGGCAAGTTAGGCAGCACTTTGCTGCTATGTAAAGTCCTGATTTCACAATTGCAAAGGATGCGATGGTGGCTGGGTCAGGCACTGAGGATAGCGCATCTTCATATAGATGCTGGATTGGTGTTGCATCCACTTGCACACGTTGTATCAGGCTGCTGAGGAGACGTAGCTGCTCTTCTGACTCCACTGGTGCTGATCTGATGAAATCGCCAACAG